CACAGATGCATGTGGTTCAAATCCGTGAGCAGCAGCTCCAAGGGAGAAAGATGGGTAATCAACTCCCCTGCAATTTACTGCCTCTGAAAACACTCTGGTTTTAGACCTCATCAGTCCTGTCTTCACGGTACACAATCACAACAATAACTTTCAAGTCTTGGCACTTTGACCATTTATTTAGCTCAAAACACTTTTTCACCCTATCCACATTGCTCTCAAAACTGTATTTTTTCAAAGCACTTACTATCATTTTTATTTATATCTTTCTGTCTCATTTAACCAAGAAGCAAATTTATTTTAAAATTCACTTTAACGCAGAGTTCAATTTGAGGAATTAGCTATAAATATTTGCAGATGAAAAATACAAAAAGGAGACACTGGATTACCAAAAGTATACCACCTACAGGACCTGGGCAAAAAGATAGGATAATGGTGGGTAAGGTGCAATGGTGATTAATTTTATAAAACATAATGCATGAGAATGATTGTATGAAACACAAAATGAATGAAGAATAGTGTGGAACACAATGTATATAAACTTTTAAGCATACAAATGAAAAAAAAAAAAACCAAACAAACCCCAAAACAACAAACCCCACAACTTAAAAAAAAAAAACAAACACAAAGATACTACCTACAGGAAGCAACTACCACACCCAGGCCTGGGGCTCATTAGAACCTAGAAGACCTTGCTTGAGTTTTCTGCACACAGTTTTCCAATTTTGCCAACATCATTTGTTAAAAAGGCTGTCGTTTCCCCACTTAACTGATTTAATCTCCTTGTCAAAAATCAGTTGACCATAGGTAGATGGACTGATTTCTGGGTTCTCAATTCTATTCTATTGATCTATATGTCTGTCATTGTACCAGTACCATGCTGTCTTGACCACCAAGGCAGTGTAGTAGGATTTGAAATAAAGATGTGAAATGCCTCCTACCTTGTTTCTAATTTTAAGGATTGTTGTGCTTTTCAGGGCTTCTTTCCATTCCAAATGAAACAAGAGTAGATGATAATGGGCATCCTTCCCTAGTTCCTGCTCTTAAAGGGAATGCCTTTAACCTCTCTCCAAAGACTCAAACAAGATCCACACCTCACTCCCTACACAGAAAGCAACACTAGGTGGATTATGGACCTAGGACTAAAACCAAGGACTATAAACTTCATTAAAGAAAAGTTTGGAAGAACTCTAGAAATCCTAATCCACAACATAAACAGTCTTCCAAGCATCCTGAAAAATCTACAACCAGGATAAGATAAAATAGATGAATGGGATCTTCTAAGAATCAAATCCCTATGCACATCCAAAACCTTCTCCAACAGGGTAAAAAGGGAAGCCACAGACTGGGAAAAAGTATTTGGAAATGACTTGTTAGATAAGGAACTTATATCTAGAATTTATAAAATACTTGAGCACCACAATAAGATAAACAACCAAATTGAAAAAGGATATGAACAGATATTTCACCAAAGAAGATGTTCAGATGGCCAAAAAACACATGAAGAAATGTTCAAAATCCCTAGCTCTAAGAGAGAAGCACATCAAAACAACTATGAGATATCATCTCACCCCAGTAAAAATAGCAAAACTTAACGGAACAGCAAACATCAAATACTGGCAAGATTATGGAGAAACTGGAACCCTTTATTCACTGTTGGTGGAAGTGTAAAATGGTGCAACCACTGTGGAAGGCAGTATGGCGCTTTCTCAAAATGTTGCAAATAGAAATACTATTTGACCCAGCAATTCCATTACTGGGAATATACCCAAAAGAAACCATAACTGCCACCCAAGCAGATATATGCACACTCATGTTTATTGTGGTTTTGCTCACAATAGCAAAGAGTTGGAAACAACCTAAGTGTCCATTAAAAAATGAATGGATAGAGAAGCTCTGGCATATTCACACAATGGAATATTATGCTGCATTAAAAAGAAGGAACTAATGAAATATTATTCAAAATGGGTGACCCTGGAGAACATTATGCTGAATGAAATATCTCAGTCACAAAAGGACAAATACTGCCTAGTGTCACTATTGTAAAATGGAAGTGACATCACGGTTGGGAGACTGAGAAAGATGGGGTAAATGATGTATACTGCATTGAAATAGAGAAGGGACAAAACTGTTTAAACGGGATATGTGATTAGATATTATTGTCATGACAGGAGTCCAGAACGAAGGCTGCATAGTGGAGTAGACCTGGGGGGAAGGATTATATAACAATGAAAGAATTTTTCTTTTACTTTTCAAAGAAAAGTGAACTGGGAGGGGAGCGGTAGGCAGAGAGAAAAGTGCAACAATGAATGAATGGAAATCCAAAGTCTCTGTAAATTTTCATTAAAAATAATAATAATGTAATAATAATAAATACAGCAAAAATTTAAGATCTAATAATATGGAAAAGAAGGCGGGGGGACCCTGGGAGAGGGAGAACTGCAGGTTTGGTAAACTCTAAAAGCTCAACACCAATATTCCCAGCAGTGCTATTCACCATCACATGAATGGAAACAGCCCAAATGCCCAATCACAGTGGAATGGATTGAGAAATTTGATACAGTCACACGATGGGATACTATGCAGTGCCCAAGAGCAATGATTTTGTAAATTAGTACCTAACATGGCAGGGACTGGAAAGCATTATTCTGAGTGAACTAATGCGTTCTCATAAGATACAAATACTGTATAAGACCATTATTGTAGAAGGAGTATGAAGATCCAAGGAGAAGGGCTTAATTATGGAGTCACTCAATTTGATGGGTGGAGGGAGGGATGGGTAAACCAAAGGGGAAAGGTCCAGTGTGAAAAACAATGTATACAAACTTTGTGAACTTTGTATGTAAACCAGTATAAAATAATAACAAAAATCCCCAACAAATCTGAAGAGCAGGTGCCACTTCTTTTCTGCTGTTACCTAAGGAATTTGGAGAGAGGTCCTGCAGGGCTGGTTTTCAGAATCTAAGGAGTGGCTATTCCTCACAAGTGCTGGTCCTCTGATGGGGCCAAGGAAACTGTTTCCGAGAATGTAGAAAGGCTCTGGAAGCTAGAATCAGAAACTCTGGATAAGACTGGAGCGAAGAACATAGCTAGGGTATTGATGGAGCTCTGGTGGCCTAGCGGTGAGGAATTTTGCTGCCTACTGAAAGGCATGTGTTTAGAACTGTAAGATAAGCATTCTCCTCCTGTGTGATTTACTGCCTCTGAAAATCCTGCTAGAGAGTCAGCTTTGGATTGGTTCTGAGTTGATGACACATGACAACAACAACAGCAAACATAGCTGAACAGATGTTCAGAACAAGAATGTTCTCAAGGTGTTCACAACAAGAAAAAACATTCCTATGGCTTTCAGCTACTGTCAGTCCAACTCGGACTGCTAGCAACCTTGCATGTTTCTGGGTAGAGCTGCGTTTCTTCACCATTTCTGTGGTTAATCCTTTAGAAGTTAATCAGCTATTCTTTCTTCCAAGGTCCCTCTGGGTAGACTTGAACCTCCAAACTTTTGGTGAGCAATTGAAAATGATAGCTATTTGTATGCAGAGTCTCCAAACCAGTTACCATCAAGGCGGCTGTAACCCATAGTGAAAGTGGTTAACATGTTCAGCCGGTGATTGATAGTCTGAAGGTTTGGGCCTTTCCAGGGGCACCTCATAAGAAAATCTTGGTAATTTGCTTCTACCCCAGGATCAGTCACTGAACACACTATGGAGTTTTCAACTCTGACCCAGGTCTTCATGAATCTGAATTGGCTCAATATCGATTGGTAAATGATTTCTGAGTCTTCTTCAGTATCTTTGATATATGCATGCTAACACAAAATCACCTGGCAAAGGGAAAATGGACTTTTATGAGTTCCAGTTTAAGTAATTCAGGTCCTTGGATAGAAAGGTGAGTTTAGAGATAACATGTCATAGCTTAATAGTAACAGTATTAATGTGTTTGCTCTTGTTTTTTCTTACCTACACTATAGAGTAGATTCAAAATTCACGTTACTGTTTTCACTGTGGTACTATCAATTCTAGTAATGTGCATAGCATAGTAACAGACAGATAAAAGGTACTCAATAAATAGTGCTTGGAGATATGTGTAATGAGTGAATTTATTTTTCAAAACTACTTAATAAAATGTACAATTCCATTTTTATCAATTGAACAGATGCTAAGTATCTCATGTGACAGTCTAGATGCTGGGGATAAAACGTGAATGTGATGCAGGTCCTTATCATTTAGCTGGGATTTAGGAGGCATTTTCACAGGACATTTAATAATAAAACATCATAGTAAACACTGATACCCTTAAAAGTTTCAAAATGTGAGCAGACAAAACAACTAGAGGAAGCTTTAAGAGGGGAAAAAATGTTCCTATGAAAGGATACTGATGACATGAAGTTTCAATTTGAGGCAGGCTTGAGAGAAGGGCTTAAAAGCACCAAGTATGCAGTTGTGCTGAATATGGCTGGACTTTAGAGGATTCTGACTTGAAGGCGTACAAGTGAGAAACTGCTAAGAAAAGGCAACTGGAAAAAGAAATTGGTCCCACTTGTGGAAAATGATAAATTTTTGAGTTAGGACTAAAGGTTTGATGTTTTTTGCAAAGATGAAGCATTCAAAGTTAAAGAAAGGTGTAACACAGTCATTGAGGATACTTTCTGAAGATTAAAATTTGGCAGCATCATGAAAATTCTACTGAGGTAGAAGCCAAAGTCAGAAAAAGACAGGGAAGAGCTTGTGAAAATTAGCAAAGTCAAAAAAAGATGGTGAGGTAGGAATAGAAAAAGAGAGATATGGAGGCAGGATAAATACAGATTTTATCCAGATGCAACAGGAGTGGAGAGGACACATCAAGAATTAATCTATATGAAACACAGAGAAAAGATCCGAAGGGGTAGAGATAGAGGAAAGATCACGGGATTTAATTTGAGTTTGATTAGTAATCATATTATTAGTACAATAAAAGCCACAGTCAATAGTTATTTCCCACCAAAAGCCCACCCTTTGAAGCCATCACAAATCTGGGAGAATATATATATCTTCATCCTGTGGGGTTTCCGAAGTTCTAGGCTTCTGGAAGTTGCAGTAGTCCGATGATGGCTCGTTTCCGTAGATATGGTCCTCAAAATTTGACTGCCTCGTGTTTTCGTATATGTCTTTTTCACTTTCTTCTTTAGCTTTGTGGGGACCGGTTTTCACATTTTCGTAGTTGTCACGTACGTGCGTTGCCCCGAGAGCAGGTCTGTGTGTCTGTGATTGAGCTGAGATTTTATACTTTGGGACGATAATCTGAGGACTCGAGGATGGTGTCTTAGCATAGTCTTTCTTCTTGCTTCTTCTCTTTTGCAAAAATTTTGGTAAGGCAAATCGGACTGTGTTAGGGTGTTTCCACTGCCAAATACACCCAATTCCACAGAACACCAAAAATAAGAAGAAGAAAATTCCTACAGAAAAGGCCACTGAAGAATCCTTACAGATTGCCAACATTTCTTCACAGAGAGTATTGTTTAGTGGCTTGTTGATGCCCTTTACGAATGCACAGGTACAATCCAATGTAATTCTCTGTAGCCTCGTACCACTCAAAAGCAATCCCGGAAACTCTTTCAGGCACTTCTTTTTCAGACCTGAAAAACTATTAGCTGATAAAGTCCCGATGCAATTTGAGGATATATTAAGTAGATGTAGTTTTGGAGAAGGATTTTCTTTGCATTGAATGCTTCTTACATGACAGTCATTACTGTATAATTGCACAGTATCACAGGGAATTTTATTCCATTCTATGTCCTTTTCTATCTGTGTATTACAAAATGATGCAAAAACAAATGGAAGATAATGGAAAAGCACAACATTCAAGAAAAGGAGGGTTGAGTAATCTTCCATCCAGACACCTGTTAGGAGTTTAAATAGGTATTAGTTACATCTCTGTTACACGGTATGATTTTAAAATTCAATTTCTATGGATATATTAAGCCCCAGAATTTATTGAGATTCTGCTTCAAAATAGACTACAATACTCAGAAGGCCTTAGAATGAGAAACCTCTGAGTGGCTGCATTATTTAGATGTCAAAGTTTTCTGGCATCAAGGCTAACAATTTTCAAATGAAAGGCAAGGCTTTGAATTGAATAGGAAAGAGAAAGAAGCTCTCAAACTGCAATTTCCATTATCAATTGCTTCCTCTTGGGTACTTTGCCCACCCCTTTTTAGAGTGGGTCAGGATCACATCTTTTCCTTCACTACTTCTCACCACTGGGCCAATTGGAAGCATCATGATAGATGATGAAGAGATTGAGATTGTTGACAGCTTCAGTTTGCTTGGCTTTACAATCAACACTCTTGGCTCTAGCAGCCAGGAAATTAAAAGACGAATTGCATTGGGAAAGCCTGCTGTCAGAGACCTCTCCAAAGTCCTGAAGAGGAATGATGTCAATCTGGAAACTAAGGTGCACCCGATGCAGGCCATGGTCTTTGCAATTATTTGCTATGCATCAGAGAGATGGACAATGACTAGGGATGATAGGAGAGTTGATGCCTTTGCACTGTGGTGCTTGAGAAGAGTATTGAATATACCATGGACTGCTAGGAGAACTAATAAGTTCATCCTGGAGAGGGTGAAACTAGGCTGCTCCTCAGAGGCAAGGATTCTGAGGCTTCGTCTGACATCCTTTGGGCATGCTGCAAAAAGGGTCCGATCTTGGAGAGGGATGTTATGCTTGGGAGGGTGGAGGGACAGCACAGGAGAGGAAGACACTCAAAGATATGGACTGATTCAGTCACTGGGGTATTGGGGGTAGGTGTGTTGGAGACAACAAGATTGGAATAGGATAGAGCAGGGTTTAGGGCTGTTATACATAGGGTCGCTCCTTCTCTATTCTTCTAATGAGCCTGTTCTCTGTTACAGAAAAATTATCTCATGCTACAGGGAATTGGATGTTTTCCTATGTGATCAGATGATGTAAAGAGACCAATTCTTTTTCATCTTTATTTTTCCAGCAAGTGCTTAACGCCTAACAAGGAAAATGCAGTCAACCAATACTTGTTGGATGAGTGGACTCTGGTGGTCTAGTGGTAAAAATCTATGCTGCAATCCCAAAGGCATGCGGTTCCAGTCTGCCTCGTGCTCTGCAGAAGGATAGGCAATCTTTCCTGTGTAATAAACTGCTTCTGAAAACACACTGGAGGGTCAGCTGTGGTTCGGTTCTGACTCGATGGTACTCAACAACAACAACAGCCAAAGATATTAGACAAACAAGTGACTTCAGTTGTATTGCAATCCCAAAGGTATGTGGTTCTAATCTGCCCACAGAAGGACGAGTGATTTCCTCCTATGCAATATACTGCATTTGAAAACCTCCTGGAAGATCAGCTCTGAGTTGGTTCTGACTCCATGGTACACAACAACAAAAACAACTGCTTAAGTTTAAGAGTCTAGGTGGTACAGTGGATTAAGTGTTGAGCAGCTCACTGAAAGATGGGTAGTTCAAACCCACCAACTAATCCATAAAAGATGAGGCAATCGGCTTCCATGTAGACTTCTAGCCTCGGAAACGCCAGGACTCTTCTACTCTGTCCAATAGGATGGTTAAACTTAAGAGCTGAACTCCACGGCGGTGATGGTGTTATGTGACCTCAAGTCTGAGCTGACTTATGGCTGACCCTCCAGCACACTTTCAGAGGTTGTAAATCACACAGGAAGAGACTGTCCACCTTCCAGGTATGTCTTCTAAAGCATCTAGCTTAAATTTAAAAGATGAGAAAAGCTCTTTGAAGTAAAATATCTTTGAAAGCCTTCCTGTCATCATTCTCATATCTTCCAGAAATTCTTTCATTCAGTTAAGAATGTAGTGTATTTTACTCAGTGGCTTAAAATGTCAAGGAGGAGAGAGATGGAAATTAATCACCTAGGCTGAATGTCCTGTTAGGGCCTTATCAACAGAACATTATTACTGTGTGTTTTCCAACCAGACACAGAAATTGTTACATTGAATATTGTAACGCTAATAATAATAAACCCACTCCCATTGAGTCCATTGTAACTCACAACAACCTTATTGGAGAGAGGAAAAGGATTTCATTGAGATTCAAAGCTTAAATGTTTAAGGCAGCAGAACAGTATATCTTTTTCTCCTGTGGAAAGGCTGGAGGGTTTGAACCATACCTTTTTGGTTCCAGGCATTTTAAACACTGTGCCACAAGTACTGCTGGCGCTTGTGGAAATGCACTAGAGATGCTTTAAGAAGCTTTCCTAACATATAATATGTGGTTCCGAAACAGGACTCAGGTAATATGTTCCTCAAAATGTTATTCCTGCCCAAATAGCTGTAAATGGCTATCAAGTACTCTCGTCAGTAAATTGTTACTGCTTGGCTATCTCTGAGGCTTCTGAGAGAGGAAAAACATGTATTACTTAGCTTTGTATCCCCAATGCCAATGTTAGGCACCAATTAGATTATTATTAAGGATCTGTTGAGTGGCTGAAACAATCTGCTTACAAGATAACAATAGTCAAGATAGAGAGGAAGAAAAAGACCCATCAAGTTATGTCCTTCCCTCACTGGGCACTCAGGAATGAGAATGAGCTTCTCTAAATGCGCTCAACATCACACTACAGCTGTGACACATTTTCCATTTGGTGCTTTATATGAGACATCAAATTGAATACTAGAAGTAGTTAGTGGTTAAGTATCTATTTGATGAAAAGATGGTTGACGGATCTAGACCCTTTTTAATCGGTAGGCACTGCTGGGGTTGAGAACAGCACTGTGTGGAGAACCGTATAGTTCATCACATGAGACACACTGTCTGCAGAGTTCCTGCTTTAAACTTCCAGAAACAATTCTTGGTTAACTCTTAGCAAATGACTGAATCATTAGAACCACATTTTCTTTCCTGAAACAAATGAGGCTACATCCTATGTAAGTTAGGTTATGGTAAATAGATATGCTGTAAGTAAATGTTTACTTACTTTGTTAACATTTGTCAGCATACCTGAAAGAAAGGTCAAATATTAATTGAGTATATTGAATTCAATCATTAGCTTAATAAGTTCAGGGCCTTCAACATAAGTAAATTATAGAGAAGGTAAGTGAGGTTCCCTCTACAACTGTGAAAATGCTGACTTCTACGAGAATGTATTTTTACACTCAATGGTGTTTTATGTAGCATAGACATTGCACTGCATTCCAAAACCAAAAAGTTTTTCAAAGAGGCTTTTGTGATGGGCTTTTTTTTTTAAGGAAAATAAAGTCAACCTTTTATTCTTTTTTCCAGATAATCTTATGTGAAAACCAAAGCTTGACTACTAAAATACTTCCATGCTTTAAACAGGGATACTTTGAGTATAGCTTAATTTGTAAAGAAATATTCCTAGTTTTGAAGAATACCCTGTTTTTATTTTAGAAAGCAATTTTTATAGACTATCTAATAATTTTCCTTTGTCTTCAAAGCACAAATTATTAATAACCTTCTGGAATTTTCCAGATTGAATAATGCTCTTCTGCTTGGAAATAAAGTGGCAGAGAAGTCTAATCTTGTACTTCTGACCAGGAGATTTATAACAAAACATTCACTACTTTCAATTAATAAACTATTTATTTTTTTTCTCATGGCTACTTAAAAAAATTTTTCCCCTAAGAAGTGATTTAATAAGACACATAGGCCTTAATTAAAAATAAACTTATTCCTTAACAGCTTTTCATTAATGAGATCCTTCCTTACCTTAAGGTTGGTGTGGCATGTCTCTCCTTTGTGCTTTGACAACATATCAAGTCCGCTTTGTTTAACACTTGTTCCTCTTTTTCACTTTGGTCATTTACTTCCTTCTGTGCCTCCTCCTTTCAGATGATTTCAAATTTGCAAAGTTTCCTGGCCCTGGAGGAAGTTCTTATCAGATACACCAGAATTAAGATAAATGGCATGAATTCTTGAAGAAGGAAGTCTAGGCCTTTGTGTTTACCAAAAAGTCATCAACACATAAAAAAGTGATTGTGAAGTATGTCTATTTATTGTAACACTGTCTTAGTCACCCGTGTTGCTATAATAGAAATACCACAAGTTAATAACTTTAAGTTATTCTCTTACAGTTTAGAGACCAAACTTGAAAATGCAGGCTAATTGCTCTAGTAGAAGGCTATCTTTATTGTTGGTTCTGGAGAAAGATACCTTTCGCATCATTTAGACCAGCCTTCCTTGGAGAGCTCCATATGTATTAACCTTCCCTTATGCCTGGAAACTTCCTGACACAGGGATCCTGACGTAAAGGACGCACTCCACTGCCAATTATTTTTTTTCCTGGCACTATATGCCATGGGAAAGTCTGCTGTTAGGGAACTCTCCAAAGTACTGAAGAGCAATGGTGTCTCTCTGGAGACTAAGGTGCATCTGATACAGGCTTTGGTCTTCCCAGTCACTTGTTATGCATCAGAGAGTTGGACAATGACCAAGGAGGATAGAAGGAGAATTGATGCCTTTGAGCTGTGGTGCTGGAGA